TTTCATATTATTTCATATTATTTCATATTATATTATTTCATATAATATCACATTATATTCTAAACTCTACTTTTTTACTACATGATATTACACACTTCTGATCAAACTGCACACTCATAATCTTAGTTCTATTATTTAATTTTAGGAGCTTTCTCTATGGCCTCAGGTCAAGTGCAGTGTTCTCTTGGGGGCTGAAGTCTGTCAGCACAGAAAATCTAAAATTCTCAGCATCCAGGACTCCAACAGAACATGGTTATTGCCCCTTGCAAGAGCTCAGTTATTTCATGGCCTGTTTGCCCCCCAGCACTGAGCCTTTCTGCAGTTGTCAGGGCTTTTCCCATCAAGTTCAAACCTTTCACCCCCTTTTTATAACACCACAAATCACACAAATCAGTGGTTTCTTCACCCTGCCCGTATATGCTGGGTATTTGACAGCTCCAGACATCTCATACCTCCTTGTCAGCCTGTTTTGGCAGGATGATATTGCAATTCCTGATCCTTTTTATGCCCTCTGCCACACTGCAATGCATCCCTGAGGCCCTGGAGAAATCATTTCCCAACCCTCTTGCCCTCAGCGTGGTTCCATGTGGCCCTGGCATGCTCCCCAGCCTGGAGGGGCTGTTTGTGCTGTGTGTGCTGTGTGATTTTAGTGTGCTGTGTGATTTTAGTGTGGCTGCTCTGTGTTCCCAGCTCTTGGCCATGGAGCTGGGTGTGGTATCCACACGGATCACCGCTGCTGACAGGACAGAGCACATGAAGAGGCTGAGGCACACGGCACAAAGGCTTTCCTTTGCCCCAGGTGGGGATCCTGGCTGTGGAACCTCAGCCTGGGCTCTGATTTTGGGGGTTCTCTGTGTGTTTTCAGTGACAAACTCACCCTGTGCCCGCTGTGCTTTGTCCTGCAGCCTCGAGCCAGCGCCCGGCAGCCCGGCCCAGGGTGCCCCCCAGCCTGCCCAGGGGTGCTCCTGAGGACCTGAGGGTGGTGGCCATGGCACAGCAGGTCAAGGAGGTGCTGCCTCACGTGCCCTTGGAGGTCATCAGGACAGACCTGGGTGAGCAGGGCTGCCAAGCAGGGATGTGGGTCCAAAAGAAGAAATCTCGTCCCCGCTGCACTGGTACACACTGGCAGCCATGATGCCTGGAGTGTCCTGATCTCTAATGGTTCCCTTCGTCCCCACAGTCCAGACCAACTGTGTGGACACCACCATTGCCAACTTGCTGGAGGGGAGAGTTCCCTTCTTGCCTGAGAGTAAAGAGTCTGAAGACCTGCCTGCCCCATCTACCTCCCAGGCTGCAGCTGCTTCTGGCATCCAGGGCTCTGTGCCTGCGCCTTCTTCCAAGGTACTTTGGGCTTGTGTCTCCCTGCTCTGCTGGCCAGAGGCATGGAGCACCAGCCAGGTCCTTGCAGAGCCACCAAGGAGGCTTCACCTGTGTCCTGATGGCTCCTGTGCTTTCCCTTCCAGCCGGCTACAAAGCAGTTTGCAAAGTCCCCCGTGGAGCGTCACCTGTCCCTGCAGGAGAGGAAACGAGCCTTGTACGACTATGCCAGGAGGTGAGAGCCCCCCACAGCTCCCCATGACACAAAATGTCCCCCTGCCCAAGCCCCCAGCAGGACCCGAGGTGCCACCCTGGCACCCTCAGTGTGGGCAGGACGTTCCTGTTTGGCACCAGGGACAGCTCCATTAATGCTCCTTGGTATGAGGGCACTGGGAGTGATTTGATCTCTGTGCAGGCTTTTTATGAGGCAAATCCTGGCACAATAGGCCAGTTCTGGTGTGTGGGTCGTGGTTTAGGAACACACAGAAAATTGAGGATGTGTTTGAGGGGGAATTTGAGTGTGCCTGGGCTTGTTGGGTACTGGATGGCTGGGGTGGTGCTGAGGGAACCATCCTGTTGGGAATCCCTGACTGGGACACCTGGCTGGGATCCTGTGGGTGGCCTTGGGGTACCGAGAGCTCTGTGGGCAGCCCTGGCAGCTCCTCCCTGCCCTCACAATCCACCGGGATTGAACGGTCCAAGCAGAGCCAGCCCGGCCCTGGGCTGCTGCAGTGTCCCCGCGGTGTCCCCGGTCCCCCGGGGCTGCTTCCTGGCCAGGATCCCCGGGTGGGTTCGGGGGAGGCCCCTCCGGTGTCTGAGGGAGGGCGCTCTCTCCCGCAGGCGGTTCGCTGAGAAGCACGGCGCGGCAAGGGCCGGTGGCAGCCCCTAAGCGGGCCGGACCAGGCCGGTGGCAACCCCTGACCGGAGCTCCGGGCCGGGCCGGTGGCACCGGGAGCGCGCGGGCCCCGCGCGGGCGGGACGGGCGGGGCGAGGGCGCCCCCTGGCGGCGGAAATAAATGGCGGCAGCGTCCGGCGCGGCTCGGGCTGTGCGAGCACCGGGGCGGGGCCATCGGGAAAGGGGGCGTGGTCAACGGGAAAGGGGGCGGGCCCGGGCCGGCTCCGTGCGGGTCTGCACGCGCCGCAGCCGACGCCTGCTCGCGCGCCGCACGTAGGCGCCGCTTAAAGAGGCAACGCGGCGGGTCCGCCGCTGCCGGGCGAGCTACGGCTCGCGGGCCCCAGCGGGAGGAGCCAGAGCCCCTTTAAGAATCCGGCTGCGGGTGCCGGTGGTTTTATTTACATGGGGGCTCGCGGGCGTCACGTGACTGTCAGCGGCGGGGGCTGCGCGCGGAGCAGCCGCGGGGCCATGGCGGGAGCCGGCGACGACGGTCCGGGGGGAACCGGGGCACCGGGGTGGGATCGGGGCCACGGGGGAGCCGGGCGGGACGGGGAACCGGCGGTGAAGGGGCACCGAGGGGTTCGGGACAATGGGACACCCGGGGAACCGGCGGTGAAGGGGCACCGAGGGGTTCGGGACAATGGGACACCCGGGGAACCGGCGGTGAAGGGGCACCGAGGGGTTCGGGACAATGGGACATCCGGGGAACCGGGGGTTCGGGACAGTGGGGAGCCCCCGGGGGTGGAGGGGTTGACGTGCACACGTGGGGGTCTGGGTCACCGGGAGCCCCGGGTGGTTGATGTGCACACGTGGGCGTCTGGGTCACTGGGAGCCCCGGGTGGTTGATGCGCGCTGTGGATGGGGGGCGGCTCCGTGGGGAGCTCAGGCGGGTTTCTGGGGGGCTGAGGTGCGCCGGGGGTCCCGGCAGGGCTGGGTCGGTGGGGGCACCACGGGGCTGATGAGCACCGCGGGGCGGGGGCAGATGCCGGTCCCGGGAGAGCAGCCTGGGGTGCACAGGGCATCCCGGGGCAGGGGTGTGCTGGGGAGGGCTGGGGTGCAGGGGTGGTCCTGGAGCAGCGCAGGGGCTGACAGCCCCCCCAGGCTCCTGGGTGGAGCTGCGCTGTGGCCCAGGCTGCCCCGAGCCCGAGGCGGCGCCCTCGCCCTTCTCCTGCCACGCCGACGTGGAGCGAATGCTGCTGGAAGCCCAGCTGGAGACAGAGAGCAGTGAGGGGTGAGTCCTGAGGGGGAGCTGGGCTCCAGAGCCCTGCTGGGCTGTGTCACAGGCTGGGCTCAGTGACTGAGGGTTTCTCTTTGCAGGGCCCTGCTCGTGCTGGGCTCCCCAGCCTGGGATGAGGACAGAGCCAGCCATGGCAGCGATCAGCCAGCAGAGAGTGAGGCACTGCCTGCCCACAGCCAGCCCCAGCCCGGCTGCCCCCATCCCTGGCAGGTGAGGGAGCTGCTCCTTGACCCTGGCACGCCCTGCTGTGCCCCAGGCCTTCTCTGACCTGCCCTGTGTCCCTTCCAGCGGGATGTGCCACAGGAAGCCAAGTGGAGGCAGCGACGCCTGAGAGCGTCCCTGGGCTGGGCCTGTGCCCGCTGCCCTCGGTACCTGTCTGCAGAGTGAGTCCTGTGTCCCCCCCAGCACATCCTGCTGCTGCCCCCCATCCTGCTGGCCCTGTTAACCATGAGCTTTCCCCAGGGAATTTGCCTTTGTGTGCTCCCCCCAGCCGGTGCTGTGGACCCTGCAGGGAGGTGCAGTGGGGAGGAAGAAGAGACTTTTCAGTTCAGAGCTGCTGCTGCTCTTCATCCCCTCGCTCCTGCTCAGCCACCTGCTGACCCTGGGGCTGGGGTGAGTGTCTGGGGCTCCTACCATGGGGCTGGGGGAGGAGGGAACACTCCTGGATTTGGGCTGCTCATCCTTGGCTGCTGCAGTGCTCTGCTGCCATCTCCCCTTGCTCCTGGCCTGCTGGGGCCCAGCACCCCATTCCAGTGCCTCACAGTCACTCTCTCCAATCCAGGATCTACATTGGGAAGCGCCTGGCAGCCTCCTCAGCCAACCCTCTGTGAGGAGCTGGGCAGGCAGCACCTTCTGCTCCGCTGGGAATGCAGGGAGAGCCTGGCACCAGCACAGCCTGACCGCTCCCAGGCCCCTCTGTCTGTCTGTCTGTCCCTCAGCCCTGCCTGGGAGCTGATCCCACTGTCCCCGTAGAATGGAACCCAGCTGCAGGCAGCCCCTGCCCTCCCCAACCCCTGAAACAGACTGTAAATACTGAGCCCACCTCAATAAAGAGCCCTGTGCCAGCTCAGGGGTTGAGCAGCGAGTCCCCTCCCTGTGTGTGGCTTGGGAAGTGACCACGGAGCCCTTCCCTGCTGCAGGAGGGTGACCCCTGTGCTTTGGGGTGCTGCCAGCTGGGGGTGAGCCCCTGGGTGGGTGTTCAGCCCCACACAGGTGCCTGGCTGATGTCTTTGCCCTTTATTATCCATGGCTGCAGTGCAGAGGTGGGAGCTGAGCGTGGCATGGCAGTCAGGGCAGTGACACCTGCCTGGTGCAGGTGACAGGGGTGGGCAGGAGAGGTGGCACTGCAGAGTGAGGCTGTGTGCACACCTGTGCACTGTGGGCCAGGAATGTGTCCTGCAGGATGAGGTGGGAGCTGTCCCACGGGTGGGGAGCAGGAATCACACAGAAATGGCACTGGGGAAGTCACTGCTGCTGCCACTGGCACAGTCTGTGGGGTGGAGGGAGGGAGGGAGGGACATCCTCATGGCTGGGAGGGGCTGCAGGGTGGGAGCTCAGCGTGGCTCCAGAGGCACAGCAAGCACCCAGGGCCAGATGTCCCAGCCCCAGGGGACACCTGGGGGTGTCCAGAGCTGGTGGGACACAGGGTGGCAGTGCCTGGTGCCACAGGGACTCTGCTCTGGGTGTCAGAGCTGCTCCAGCAGGTGAGAATCAAGCAGGGCTGTGGCTCCAGCAGCTGGCTGGGCACAGGGGCACTCTGGGCAGGGATGGGGACAGACAGGGGGTGGCATCAGGTCAGAGCTGTGACAGACGCTTGGATTTGGGTGGTGGCAGCGGCGGGGACTTGAGGCTTCTGGTCCCATCCACTGTCGGGGACACCTGAGAGCAGAGAGGGACGTGAGGGTGGTGGGAGCAGGGCCAGGGCCAGCCCTGAGTGCCTCCCCTGCAGTCCCTGTCCCCGGTACCTTCCCTGGTGCTGCAGCATCGCTCTGCTCCAGGAATGTCTCGTACACCGCGGGGCTGAACTTGCGGGGCAGCGGGGGCAGCTTGCTGGCACTCTTCACACGGCCACCAAAGCCAGTGGGGGACAGGGACGAGCCTGTGCAGGCAGGAGAGGAGACATGGAGGCTCAGCCAGCCTGGGGGGACACAGGGCCCATCAGTGTCTCCAGAGCTGTCAGGGCCAGCGCTTCTGCCCCAACACTATGGGAGTGTGGCACTGCTGGGCACAGGGGACAGAGGTGCCAGGGGATGTGAGCCCAGCCAGGAGCAGAGGGCTGGCTCCCACCAGGAGCAGCTCTTGGCACCGAGACCCAGTGGCACAAGGTCCAGGATCAATGGCTGCAGCCCCACAGGGAGTGTTCAACAAGGGACGTGCCTGTGCTCCAACGCTGTGCCATCACAAGGGGGTGAGGGGACCTGTGCTGAGCGTGGTGTGGGAGGGCACAGCCCTGCTCGTGGGGCTGCAGGGACTCTCAGGAAGGTGTTGGGGTGCTGTGGGGCTGCAGGGACGCTCAGGAAGGTGTTGGGGTGCTGTGGAGACTCTCAGGAAGGTGTTGGGGTGCTGTGGGGACTCTCAGGAAGGTGTTGGGGTGCTGTGGGGCTGTGGGGACTCTCAGGAAGGTGCTGGGGTGCTGTGGGGACTCAGGAAGGTGTTGGGGTGCTGTGGGGCTGCAGGGACTCTCAGGAAGGTGTTGGGGTGCTGTGGGGACACTCAAGAAGGTGTTGGGGTGCTGTGGGGATGCTCAGGAAGGTGTTGGGGTGCTGTGGGGCTGCAGGGACTCTCAGGAAGGTGTTGGGGTGCTGTGGGGACACTCAAGAAGGTGTTGGGGTGCTGTGGGGATGCTCAGGAAGGTGCTGGGGTGCTGTGGGGACTCTCAGGAAGGTGGCCTGGCAGGCTGTACCTGCAGGGCTGGGCTGAGCCCCAGCAGCAGCTTGGCTTGGCGGGGGCTGTTTCCTATCAGCGCTCAGGCTGCTCTCGCTCAGGGTGCAGGAGAGTCTCCTTTTCTCGTCCTGGGGCACAGAGGGAAGGATCAGCACCTCGGAGGGCCAGGCTGGATGGCAGCCCCCGACTCTCTTTTCCTGCCCTCCCTGCAGCAGGGGCTGCCACCAGCCCCTCCAGGGCTCCCATCCAGGCTGGGGGCAGAACCAGGAGCTCTGGGTGCAGCAGGAACACCCAGAGGGGTGCGAGCAGAGCCCCAGGGTGGCCCCAGGGCTGAGCTGAGCATCACCTTGTGCTCTGGCAGCTCCGAGATGGACTGGCGAGCATCCTGCCGCCGGGACCCGAAGATGGCGCTGGCGCGGCTCTCCCGGCGCTCGCTCCTGTGCTCCTCGCTCTCAGAGGGGCGGTGGGCAGCCTTTGGGGTCGGTGGTGCCTCCGGGCTGTGGGGTGACCGGGACAGGTGAGGGGCAGCCGGGGAGGGAGGAGCGGGGCTGGAGCATCACTGGGAGCGGCTGCACTCGGGCATCAGCACCAGCCACAGCAGAGCTCAGCAGGGCAGGTGTGGGGGACAGGAATGGATGGCTCAGGTGACAATTGTCCAGGTGAGCACATGGGGTGTCTCTCCTCCATGCCGCCCATAGGGACAAGGCCACCGTGGTGACCTGGCAGGACAGACCCCTGAGATGCACTTGGCATAAAGGGAAGGGGGAAGAAAAGCACCAGGGCCAGAGTGAGGAAGGCTCAGCTGAGGGGGATGAGGGAGGATGACCAGCACACTCCCCAGTGCAGCACTTGCCTGGCTCCAGCGTGGCTCAGGCGGTCCCAGTCAGGCACCCAGGCTATGGAGCGGGGTCGGCCGCTCCGCCGCTCCTCAAAGAACATCTGAGGGACACAGCCAGGAGGGATGAGAGGGCAGAGCCTCCCCAGCCTTCCCTGGGCTCAGCCAGGACCATCAGTGCCCTCTCTGACCAGCCCTGCTCCTGGGCAGGCAGGGACCCTGAGATCCCCCATGCCCGGTGGAGATGTTGTGTTGTGTTTTTATACTTTGTAATAGTTTTGGGTTTGTATCACTGTATTTTTCCCAAATTGTTTACCCCAGATTGTACCCCCTCCCTTTACCTGTGTAATCCCTTTCCTTTGCTGAGATCATCCCCAAATCCCCACCCTGGCTCTCCTGTCTGGATCCCACCCCCTCTCCTCTCTGGGATCCATCTCCTCTCCTGTCTGGATCCCACCCCCTCTCCTCTCTGGGATCCATCTCCTCTCCTCTCTGGGATCCCAGTCCCTCTCCTCCCTGGATCCCAATTAATACCAAGCCAGGCGTTTCTCTGATGGGATCACACCAGTGCTGGGCACTGTGGCACCCCCAAACCCTTCCTGCTGTGTCCTCCCCTCCCATCGCCACCCCAATCCTCAGCATCCCATCCCCTTCTTCTAGAAGTTTCAGTCCAGGACATTAAGTAATTAGCCAGAGGCCTGGGGTCAGCCCCCCAAGTGTTTCTCCATACCCTGTCCTAAATGTCTATCCCCCAATATCCATCCCTTGGGGTCACTTATTGGTTAATAAAATGTTATTTACTTTAGGTTTCCACTTCCCTTTAAATGTAATCTTGGCTCTCAATAGGAAGCACCTTGAGGTGCAGGGCCCGGTGCTCCTCACCCTGTTCCTGCCCAATCTGTGCCCTCAGCCAGCTGTTCCCTGCTGCCCCACATCTGCACTGGCATGTCCAGGGCAGTGCCCATACCCACGGTGGCACTCACCATCTCTCGCACCCCGTACTGAGCCTCCACCTTGGCGCGCAGCTGCTCGAAGCACTGCTCCATGCGCTCGTGGAACGGCCGCAGGTCCTCCGGCACCTTCTGCCCGTGCATCCGGATGCCCTCAGCCAGCAGGGGGATCTGTGGGACAGCGGGGACTCGTGGGGCTCCCTGGCACCGCCGCCAGCTGGCCCTGCCAGGGGGATGCTGCACCTGGTACCTGCCAGGCGATCAGGTCCTTCAGCTTCTCGATCTTGCCTGCGTCCTCAGGGTGCTCCTGCATGTACAGCTCCTGGAAAAAAGCCTGAAAAACCCTCCTGAGTGCCACTGCCAGGCTGGCCCAGCTCACACAGGCTGGGGATGGCACCCCCTTTGCTCTGGGATCCATCTCCTCTCCTCCCTGGATCCCAGCCCTTCTCCTGTCTGGGGTCCCAGCCCCTTTCCTTTCTGGGATCCATCTCCTCTCCTCCCTGAATGCCACCCCCTCTCCTCTCTGGGGTGCATCTCCTCTTCCTCTCTGAGATCCATCTCCTCTCCTCTCTGAATGCCACCTCCTTTGCTCTCTGGGATCCATCTCCACTCCTCTCTGGATCCCATCCCCTCTCCTCCCTGGATCCCAATTAATACCAAGCCAGGTGTTTCTCTAATGGGGTCACACCAGTGCTGGGCACTGTGGCACCTCCAAACCCTTCCTGCTGTGTCCTCCCCTCCCATTCCCATCCCAATCCCCATCCCAAGGCTCCCCACAGTGCCAGTCCAGCCTGTGCACCCCTCACCTTCTCATAGTTGGTGAAGCCCCCCATGACTGCAGGGTCCACGATGCCGTTGAGCAGCATGGACAGAGGGTTGATGGGCAGGCTGGGGTCGTTCTGGTGCCTGTTGATCTCACTCATGATCTTCTCGTTGGTTTTCATCATGGTCTCAATAGCGTTTTCCAGGGGGGAGATGATGATCTGTGCACAGGGAGGGGTCAGTGCTGGCAGGGTGGGCTCTCCCCAGCCCAGAGGGACCCCTGGGGCTGCACATCCCACCCCAGGAATCCCCTCAGACCCCTGGGGCTGCACATCCCACCCCAGGAATCCCCTCAGATCCCTGGCACAGCCTGGGGCTCAGTGAGAGCTCCTGGGGCTGTGCTGGCCATGCTGGTCCCTGCACAGAATCACCCCCATGGGCACGGGGCAGCAGCGAGGCTGCAGGAGACCTGGGTAACCTCTGGTGTCACTTTGGGGATGCACCAGGACACTCTGTGACAGCCCAGTCAGGACACTGTGTGACAGCCCAGCCAGGACACCCTGTGACAGCCACCAGGACTCCCTGTGACAGCCATCAGGGCATCCTGTGACAGCCCAGCCAGGGCACATCACATCTCCACAGCTGTGGCTGCTGAGACTCCCTGGATGCTGACCAAGCACTCATCCCTGACAGAGGAGCAAAGCCCACACACTGTCCCTGCTGCCCACAGAGCATGGCACAGGCAGGACACGCTCCCCATCCCCAGCCTGAGCTCCTGGCAGGGCTGGAGCATCCCCCAAGCTCCTGGGAGAGCCCCCAGCCCCCTCCTCACCGTGTCAGTGGAGGTGACAACGAACCAGCGCAGGATGCCCGGCAGGGGATAGGCTGTCCTGAAGGTCGTCCTCTCAATCCACATGTTCTGTGGCAAGAGCAGCAGTCACTGCCCACCCTCCTCCCATCACCCCTGGCTGCCCCATGGCCTGGGGGGCTCCCACCTCCATGGGCACAGCACCAGGGACCCCCCAGCTGAGGACCCTGGTACTCACAGCAAATTCATTGTCGGGATCACTCGGGCCCCTCTTGAAAGGCCGGGAGTAGCTGAACCTCTGGATGTGGTTGGCTTTGTAGAAGCTGTGGGGAGGGAAGGGATGGAAATGAGAGAGGAGCCCCAGTGTGTCCCACCACCCACAGGGTTCTGTGGGGACACTCACTTGGTGATTTGCTCCGGGATGCTGCGGCCCCTGAGCCGCACCTTGGACTCCTCTGCCGGCTGCACGGTGAAGCACTGGATGTCTGAGGGAGTGAAGGAGCACAGGAACACCCTGCAGGGCAGGGCTGCTGGGCACAGGGCTCCAGAGCCTCAGGGGTGAGCCCCAGGGGGACACAGAGGCATTTATGGGATTCCCACATGCACAGGGATGCACAGAGACCAAGCCACGCTCCCAGCTGTCACTGACATGTTTTCTGAAAAATATCTTTGCTGGGATTTTTCTGCTGAGAAGCCTCAGAAAAGAAATGTAAACAATAACTATCTGATGGCTGTGGGATGTGTGCTGGAGATGCTTTACCAACAGGTGAATCTTGGATTGGTCTCATGTGAATTGTTTTTACTTGATGACTAATAATGGTCTAGCTGTGTCAGGACTCTGGTCAGCCACAAGATTTCATTATTCATTCTTTTCTGGATTTCTGATTTCTCCTTTCCCTTTCTTTTAGTATAGTAAATAGAATAGAATAGAATAGAATAGAATAGAATAGAATAGAATAGAATAGAATAGAATAGAATTTATATTATATTTATAATATAGCATAATATAACATTTATACAACATATAACATTTATATATATTATAGTATATATATTATATTATATATTATATAGTATACAGTATATAGTATATATATTATATATTATATATTTTATATTATGTTATATGTTAAATATATATATTATATACATAATATATAAATATAACATTTATATTATGTTAATGTATTATGTTATATATTATATTATATTATATTATATTATATTATATTATATTACATTATATTACATTATATTACATTATATTATATTATATTATATCAGCCTTCTGAAACATGGAGTCAAATTCTCATCTCTTCCCTCGCCCTGGGGACCCTCAAACACCCCCACACCCATCCCTGTCCCCGTGCACACAGAGGATACACTGCCCTGGGGAGTCAGTGATGTCCTGGCCAGGGGGAGATGTGCTCTTCAGCTTCTCAGCGTTGGGGAAGGGGCTCAGCAGCTGCATCTCAAAGTCCTCACGCCGCTCGTACTCCTTGCCCCGGTAGATGAAGACCTTGTTCTGCAGGGCAGGAAGGTGACAGCTCATCCCTGTGCCACACAGCAGGGCCAGCAGGTCCCAGAGCACTGGGATGCTGTGCTGATAAGGCTCTCCTGCCAAACAGGAGACATCTCCCTATCTAGGAAAAAATATCTCCCCAAACCCAGGAACTAGAAGAAAAATGAAAGGCGGCACACGGAGAATCAGGATTGTGCCAGCCAAGCAATGTCACTGAGGACAAATCCTCTGTGACAAATTTGGTGGCTTCTATGAGGGTGTGGCAGCATGGGGGGGATGAGGGGAGAGTGACTGGACTTGTGCAAACCATCTGAGCCTGGGATGTCCCCTGGATGGGACAGATGCTGGGTGAGGAACAGGCTGGATGGTGACACTCAGAGAGTTGTGGTGCACAGGTGGACACCAGTGAGGAGTGGGGGTCCCTGGCTGTGGAGGTGGCAGCTCTGGAGGGTCCCTGGCTATGGAGGTGACATCTCTGGAGGGTCCCTGGCTATGGAGGTGGCAGCTCTGGAGGGTCCCTGGCTATGGAGGTGACATCTCTGGAGGGTCCTTGGCTGTGGAGGAGGCAGCTCTGGGGCTGCTCCTGGTTCTGCTTACCCTGAGGAAGGTGGGGAAGCCCTGCCCATAGTACCCCACAGCAAAGTAATCCGGGCTGGGTCGCAGCACCTTCAGGATCTTCTCATAGAACTTTGCCTCTCGCTGCTGCAGAGGAGAGGGGCAGGATGAGGGCAGGAGGGGGCTCTGCAGACCCCCCATGCCCCCTGCCCAGCCAGGCACCCACCAGGATGTCACTCAGCATCTCGTAGTCGAACACGTGGCTCTCGTACTGCTCCGCCAGCTCCTTGCAGATGTGGATGGCTTCCTCCCACATCTGGAGAGAGAGAGGGGCCAGGACAAGGCCCCCCAGGGCAGGGTGAACTGGGGAAGGGGCACCAGGGGCTTCCAGCAGGGACCAGCTGCACCCCTGCCCCTGTGAGGAGCGGGAGAGGGCTCTCCTGTGGGGACTGGTGGGCAGCAGAGGAACTTGGCTTCCCACCAAGCCCCCAGCTGACCCCATCAAGCCTTTGTCCAGAGCTATCCAAGCTTCTGACCTGGGCTGGGATGGGACAGGGATGGGATGAGGGACAGTGGCTGTGGGGTGACCCATCCAGCCCAGATTCACTGGGGCAGCTCCAGCCCTTCTGCGGCAGTGGGGAGTGAGGGGCTGTGCTGAGAATGGGATGTGGGAGCATGAAACATGGGGGAGTTGGTGGCAAAGGGGCCAGGCTTGCCCTGAGCCAGCCCAGCTCCCTCCAGTTTTGGGGTTTCAGAGGCTGCAGGGCCTGTAGGGGCCACGCTCACCTTGCCCTGGTCGAAGTACTCGATGATCTGGTTGTACAGAGCCTCCTTCAGCTGGCGCTGAGTGTGCAGCTGGAGCCCGTGTGGGCCTGGCACAGGGGCTGCATTGGACTCCTCTGACCACTGCACAAGGGATTGGGGACTGTCACACCCTGGGCCATGGAGCTGCCCCCTCCTCACAGCCCCCCCAGCCCCCCGTGCCCACCGTGAGCAGCCGGGCGTGCAGCAGCAGCGTGTAGGCTCCCTCCGTGTAGTTCTCATAGCTGATGTGCAGGTCCTTCAGCTTGTACAGGTACCTGGGGGTGACACAGTCACGTGTGGGGGGTGAGAGCACCATCACCTGCCCCTCAGGCCGCCCTGCCCAGCCCATCCCTCTGGGAATGCCCAGGAGCCCCCAGCCCAGGCGCTGCTGGGGATCCCAGGGCTGGGCTCACCTGATGTACATGGCCTGGCGGTCAATCTCCTTGTAGAAGTTCTGTGGAAAGGCAGATGAGGTTGTTTGAGTGGCCCTAGGGGTGGCACATGCCACAGCCCCTCACAGTGCCACCCTCTGGGTCACGGTGCTGCCAGGACTGTCCCCACACAGGGATGGCCGTGGCCCACACAGCTGCACATCCCAAGCGATGCCAGCTCTGGCACCCCCTCTCTGCTGTGCCAGTGGCACCGTGGTGACTTGGGGACAAGCCCTGCCAGCCCTGGGGACCTGGGGGAGCACAGGAACAAGCCCAGGTTGCCCCAGGGAGCTGGGACACGGGATGAGCCCTGGCAGCCTGAGGAGCTGGAGCAGGGCAAGGTGCTCACCAGCAGGTTGACGGTGCAGCTCATGCTGTAGGTCTTGTTCTCGTCATTCATGACAGCCCTGTAGTCCAGGAGCCGCTCCAGGAGCTCGCTCACCAGCCTCACAAAGTCCTCTCCAGGCTTGGCCAGCTCGGGGTGGCTCTGGCAGCAGCTCAGCAGGCTGGGGAACAGAGAGAGGCACACGGGTCCCACTGCACAGCCAGCTCTGCTGTGCTCCCACCACTGCCCTGCCCGGCAGCAAGGGCAGGGACAAAGCCTGGGCAGAGCAGGGGCATCACCTGGGGCAGGGGGGACTCCTGGGGCAGGGGCATCACCTGGGGCAGAGATAACACCTGGGGCAAGGGCATTACCTCAGGCAGGGGTAATTCCTGGGGCAGAGATAACACCTGGGGCAGAGATAACACCTGAGGCAGGAGTAACTCCTGGTCTGAGATAATACCTGGGGCTTAGATAACACCTGGGGCAGAGGCATCACATCAGGCAGGGGCAATTCCTGGGGCAAAGATAACACCTGGGGAAATGGCATCACCTCAGGCAGAGGTGACTCTCAGGGCAGAGATAAGACCTGAAGCAGGAGTAACTCCTGGGGCAGAGATAACACCTGGAGCTGGGGTAATTCCTGGTCTGAGATAACACCGGGGGCAGGGGCATCACCTCAAGCAGGGGTGACTCCTGGTCTGAGATAACATGTGGGGCAGAGATAACACCTCAGGCGAGGGTAATTCCTGGGGCAGGGGCATCACTTAAGGCATAGGGTAATTCCTGGGGCAGGGGTGTCACCAGGGACAGGAGCATCACCTGCAGCAGGGGTAACACCTGGGGCAAAGATAACACCTGGGGCAGGGTGGCTGGGCCAGCAGAGGTGTGCAGGGGGCACACGGTGGTGCTCGGGCACACGGTGGTGCTCAGGCTCCCTCCTCGCTGCTCCCTTTCCCCTGGCACACTCCGGGCCAGGGCACAGCGTGAGGAGCAGTGGGACGGCAGCAGGAACAGTGACAGCAAAGCGGAGAAGGTGGCAGGGATGTCACTGCACACTCACATGCTCTTGAAAAGCTGCATGTACTGCTCGTCCCCGCGGCCGCCCTCCACCTCGCTGTCCAGCCTGCGCAGGATCTCATCCTCAAACTGGAAAGCGGACAAAGATGGGCTGACCTTGGAGCAGCCCCTCACCCGTGACCATCCCAGAGAGAAGGTTCCAGGGCACGCCCTCCCCTGCCGTGGGTGGTTCCCAGCCCATCCCGGGCCTCACCCTGGTGAAGCTGCCCCTGAGGCGGTGCTCGCACAGCATCATGTCGAAGAAGATGGGGATGGTGGATTTGCGCAGCTCCAGCTCCGGCACCAGCGTCATCTCCAGGATGGGACCCACCATGCCCGGGATGAACTCGATCTTGCGCTGCCCTGGGAGGACAGAGAGGGCTGGGATCCACGCCCAAAACAGCAAAAAGCCGCTCGCCACACCCACTGTGGGCGCGGAGAGCCAAAATCCATCCCTGCACAGCGCGGCTCACCGAGGCTGTACCACATGTCCCGGATGGATGCTCCGATGGTGGCTCTCATGTCCCCGTACCTGCGGGGACAGAGGGACAGCATCGCTCTGCAGCCCCGGGTGTGCCCAGCCCAGCTGGCTCATCCCAAAACCCCTGTCCCCGGGGCAGGGACTCACTTGGCCAGGATACTGTTGCGTTTGCCCGGGGAGAAATTCTCCAGCTGCAGCGAGTCCTGCGTGAGGAAAGCCACGGCCAGGTGGAAATAATTGTTCCAAAGCTGCGGTGGAAGGAAGCAGAGGGATGAGTGCCAGGCTGGGGGGCACAGCGGGGTCTGCTCCTGACCCCAAGCAGGGCTGAGGCAGTGCCACCCACCCACCTGCAGCTCGAAGTCGCTGTCGCTCAGGAACATCTCGGTCAAGGTGGTGGCAAAGTGGTTGATGGCACGCAGGAACTCCCTGTGGACAGTGGGCACGGAGTGAGGGCAGCACCAGCGTGCCCAGTGCCCAGCCTGGTGTGCCCACCAGCATCACACAGAGGGGTGAGGTCCTTTCTGCCCCCCAACCTCTGTCCAGAGTCCACCTGCCCCGCTGTTACCGTGACATTTTCTGAAAAATCTTTTTTTCCCCAGGATTTTCTCCTGGGAGGCTGAGAAGCCTCAGAGAGGAATGAAAACAAGAATTATCTGATTGCTGTTCTCGTGTTTGCTGCTTTGGAATGTGGCTTGGACATTGTTTACACCAACAGGTGAATGTTTGATTGGTTCTGTGTGAATTGTTTTTAATTAATGGCCAATCACAGCCAGCTGTGTGGGGTTGACACCGAGAGTAAGTCACAGGTTTTTATTCTTCATTCTTGTTAAGCCTTTTGATGTATCCTTTCTCTTTCTTTAGCATAGTTTTGGTATATATAATATAATATAATATAATATAATATAATATAATATAACTGTTATAAATGTTATATAATATAATATAACTGTTATAAATGTTATATAATATAATATAGACGTTATAATACAACTGTTATAAATGTTATATAATACAATATAGACGTTATAATACAATACAACTGTTATAAATGTTATATAGTATAATATAGACGTTATAATGTAATATGACTGTTATAAATAGTTATATAATATAATATGGACGTTATAATACAATATAACTGTTATAAATAGTTATATAATATAATATAATATAGATTATATTATATTATATTATATTATATCATATCATATCATATTATATCATATTATATTGCCTTTTTAGAACACGGACCCAAATTCTCATCTCTCACCTCATCCTGGGGCCCTCACAAACACCACACCCCACAGCACCCCAGGTGCTCACAGCCACCCCAGCCCCTCCCTGTGCTCCTCCCCAGCCTCTCACCGGTTCTGCACCATGTTCATCACCACCCAGTCACCAGGGTACACCGTCTTCCCGATCAGGTCCTTGAAGAGGATAAAAGTCTCCATGAGGAAGTCCTGCAAGGGAGGGAGAGATGTCAGGGCCGTGCTGGGCTGCAGTGCCCTCCGGAGGAGGCTGTGAGGGAGGCGCTGGTGCCGGAGGGCTCCGTGTTGCACTCACCATCAGCTCGGGCCGGGAGGGGAACCCCTGGATGTAGGTGCTGTAGTGGTCCTTGTCCATCTGGCTCAGGATGGTGGCCATGCAGGCCACGTAGTGGCTCTGGGGGACAGGAGCTGCTCAGGCCCTGCTGGGTCCTGCAGCTCCAGTCGGTTCATAACCCAGAGCCCCAGTTCACCCCCTCCCTCCCTGGTCCCCTCTTCCCCAGCTCCCTTCTCCTGGCCCCTTCATGTGCATCCCACTGCAAGGATGGGATGGCTCCTGCACCCACCATGATGCCAGGGGGATGCAGGAGTCATTACAGAGTGGTGCTGAAGCACCTCTGTCACTTCTGAGGCCATTTAAGGCCATCTGTGGGTGTCAGGGCATTTTGAAAATGGCAAGCAGGAGTGCCTCCAGTGCAGGGTCCCAAACCGAGCCCTTGGCTCCACTCCAGGGGGCTCCCAGGTTTGTATCAGGACAAGTGGAGTGTGCATGAGCGGGATGCTGCCCAAAAGCTGTCCCAGAGACACTTCCAAGGCTGGAAACTGCGGGAAAGGGCAGCAGTTCCTGGGCTAAGAGCATGGTCTGGCTTGCTCAGGGGGAGTGACGGCCCTGCCGTGCCCCGGTGCCACTGATGGAGCTTTGTGGGTGGCTTCGGGTGCCAGCCCATGCCCAGAGACTGCCGTGCCCGAGCCCTGCAAGGGCAGCACCGGGCTCTGGGCACCTCTGCTGCCCTTCCAGCCCTCCTTCCATCCCTGCAGGTCGGGCACAGCCGGAGCTCCCGCTCGGATTCCAGCGGAGCATTCCCGCCCTGCCATTTCCCCATTGCGGCGCCAGGCCAAGCACACGCGGACCCAAGCGGGCTGTTCGGGGATGGATGTGACCGCTGCCGGTGACCGAGGGCTCCAGCCTGGCACCGCCAGCCCGGGGGCAGCCCCGGCAGCATCCCGGGATGGGGCACAGCCCACCAAGAGCTGCAGCGGGCGAGCAGCGAGCGCCCACGGCCAGCCCTGGCTGCGAGGGGTTTTCTGTCTCTAGGAGGGAATTCCAGGGAATTCTCTCGTGCAAAGCAAACCCCAAAATCTCCCGCTGCTCCGGGAATCCATGTGGTGCCCCAGCACCGGCACACCGGGGGCCCGCGGGACCGGGACGCGCCGGCACCGCCCCGCACGGGCAGCGCCCTCCCGGTACCGGGACCGCGGCTCCTCCCGGGCTCCGGGGCTCGGCTCCCGGGCGCGCACCCCGTGCCGGGGCTCCGCCCCCCGCCCCACTCCGCCCCCGCCGGCTCCGCCCCGGTACCGGCGAGCGCGCGCCGCCCCGCCCCGCCCCGCCGAGCCCCGCGCCCGCCGCTGCCGGACCCGCGCTGCCGCCGCCGCCTCGGAGCACCAGGTACCGGGCGGGATGGGGAGGAGGCTCGGCCCGGGAGCGGGGCGGCGGCCGCACCGGGGGCTGCGGGCATCGGCCCTGCGGCGCCCGCCGGTACCGGGACCCCGGGCGGCCCCGCGGCAGGGGCGTGCGAACCCCGGGGCCAGCAGCGGCGACACGGTGCGGGGAGCCCCGGAACCGGGACTGCGCGGCCGTGCGGGGACGCCGGGGGCGCGGGAGCGGTGCGGGGACCCTCGGCCCGCGGGATGCGCGGGGGCCGAGCTGGGCTGGCCAGGGGGATCCTCGGTGTCCCCGCGGGTCGCGGCACCTCCCTGTCCTCCCCTCTTTGCTCCCGGCGAGCAGGAGCTGCCCGGGGAACTGCGGGAGGCACCGCGCACCGAGCATCCCCACGGCGGGCACCGTGCGCCGAGCACCCCGCACCGAGCCCCCTACGCTGGGCACCCCGCACCGAGGCGACCACCGGCGGCCGTGGCGGGGGTCTCTGGGGGGCACAGCCGTGCCGGAACGGTGGCACGGTGCGCAGCCTATGGAGGAGCATCAGTGGTGGGAGGTGCTGTGCTAGAGGGGCCGAAGACCCCCACGTTGCTCCGCGGTGCCGCAGCCTCGCCCTGTCCGCCCCGGCCCGTGGTGCCCCCGCTGCTGCTGGAGCCGCTCTGGGCTCATCCCCGCTCCCCCTCGTTAGGAAGGCGTCCGTCAGCCGGGGCTGTGCCGGGTGACACACACGCACACGCACATCCAGGGATGTCACTTTCGGTACCGCGCGCCGCCGTGACGCCGGCCGGGGCTGGAGGGATTCAGCCCACGTTGCTCCCAAGGCCTGGTGTCCGCCGGAGCGAGTCCCGGCGAATGGGGGTGCTCCGGTCCCTCCCGGGCTGCTCCGGTCCCGATCCCGCCCGCGGGAGCTGCGGCTGCCGAGGGCGGTGCGGGAGCGGGGCCGAGGTCCCCGCGGAGCCGCTTCGGTGCCGGGAACACGAGGTGGACACGAATGAGTAACCAGCGGGCCCGGCTGTGCCAGCACGGGGACATACGAGGACATCGGTGTCAGCTGCTCGCTCCGAGGGGCACGGCGTGCCCAGGGCCAGCGGCGATCTCCGGGCTCGGGAATGAACCCCTTGGCACAGCCGCGGCGACAGGGGGACCCTCAGGTGGGGATGGCACCTCCGGCCCTTCCCCGTGTCCCCTGCCCGCAGGGAGCGTCCGTCCTTCCGGAGCGGAGTGGGTTTGGTCGCAGAAGCTCCTTTGGACTGAGGTTGTCTTCTTTACAAATGATAATTACTGTAATTGCTTAATAGCATGGTGGCATCCAGAGGCCACAGATAATGAGCGGGTCTATTCCCGTCCCTGCTAACGACTCTGCTCCGGTCCTGCCCAGCCTCGCCTCCGTGTGCTCCGGACTGTTCGGTGGTGAGGAAACTGAGGCACGAGGCGGAGGAAAACGCTCGCAAAATCCCAAATTCCCGCGGTAGCCAGCGTTGTCTAAAGCGGACGGAGATAAAGGGGGGCAGGCTGCTCCATGGCATTGAGAATGCACTTAAAGGCAGGAATTTGTATTCTGGAAGGACATTCCCGGTGCCGGGAGCTGCAGCTGCAGAGGCCGTGCTGATGGCTGCTGCCACCATGGGGGATGTCCCAGGGGGTCCCTGCTGCACCCAGGACCGACCCCCCCGAGCCTGGACCGGGCTGTGCAGGGGCACCTGGGGCAGTGCAGGAGCTGCTGGGCGGTGAAGCCTTTCCAGCTATTTCCAGAAGTGAGTTCTGGGGACAGTTGGTGGCTTTCTGATGCCATTTCTGGCCTGTGAGGGAGCCCACAGAGCCTTTGTCACCCACGATCCCCTGGCCCAGGGATTGCTTTTCACGAGATGGGTGCCCAACCCCTTCTCCAGAGCTGACACATCCTCCCTGCAGAGCACAGGGTCTGCAGATGAGCTGGGTCTCCTGTGGCCAAGGCTCTCTGGGCCGTGTCCCACTTCCCTCGTGCTGTCCCTGCTGCAGGATCAGCCTGTGCTGGAGATGCCACAGGAGCCCTGGGGTTTGGTGCTGGGCACCAGCCGAGCTCTCTGGGCTGGATCTCCATCACAAGGAGCTGTGTAGCCACACAGGGCATCCCCAGGGTGAGGGGGAGGAGGAGGATGGTGCTGCCCAAACCCCATTGAGCGGGAAGGAAGCAGGCGAGCAGGGTGTTCTTCCTGCCGGGGTGGTCTCTCCTGCAGCCCCGGGGGTGGCACTGAACCACAGCAGCTCCAGGGATGCTCCTCCTTGCCTGGATGAGCGCAGGGAAGCCTCGGGACACAGAACAAACTCCTCCTGAGCTGCTCCCTCAGGCAGGTCACTCTCTCTCTTCACGTCTCATCAAAGCAGCGCTCCCAAAGCTGCTGTGCCTGGCAGAGAGGTGGGGACGCCAGCAGGTAGCACAGCGAACAGAGCCACCACTGCCATGACAGCCCTATTAGCATCCACGGGAGACACGGGAATCATTTGGCTTCTGCAGCTTCTGAAGGCTCGTGCAGAGCCTTTGTACTCCCGAATCCCCGGCCGTGCGCGGCTCCATCTGCAGCAGCAGCACTTCCACATCAGAGGGCAGCGATCCCAGCGAGGCTGGTGGCCTCAGCGTGCCGGGAGGGTGTCACTGCTCCTTCCCCAGCCCACGGGATCCCTTCCATGACACCAGGGGCATGAGCCATGGCACGTGTGGCCAGGCCAGCCGGGAGCCCCAAGAGGAGCCTGTGGGGTGGCTGTGGGTGCTGGGGGCTCCCGGCCCAGGCTGGGTGTCACCAGAGCCTCCTCCTGGTCCCCGTGGCTGGGAGAGTGACTGATGTTCCCTCGGAGCACTCCAGCCAGTGACCTACATAGGGATGAGTGCGGATCCCTCGCTCCTCTGAGCTGTGTGCCCGTGCTGCTCCCAGCACCCCTGGGTGATGCTCAGTGTGGGGCTGAGGGGCACAGCCACCCCTGGCACGGCCCTGGTGGCAGGGACAGCTCCTGTGCCCTCGGCCAGGCCAGCCCAGGGCTCCTGAGGGAGGCACAGCAGCGCTCAAGCAGAGCCTGGAGCGCTGCTGAGGGCGACAGGATCAGCACTGCGAGGTCCTTCAGGGACATGGGGAGCTGGCCTTGGGGACAGGAGCCGAGCTGGACTCAGGGAGTGCTGGGAATGTGGCTGGAGAAGGGGTTTCTCCTTGCTGGGGGCTGCGAGGGCTGAGCACAGGAGGGAGAGGAGCGGCTTGGGCGGAAGCGCTCGGTTGGCACGAGCACAGTGGGATGGAAGCGGGTGTGATTAAGAGCCTGCAGGAAATGAGGAGGGCTGTGAGGCTCCCAGCAGCCGGGTTCTGGAAGAGCCTCCAAGAAGAGAAGCGTGAGGGCAGGGCATGAGCTGGCTTCGTGGTGGAGCTTCCTCAGCGAGGAAGCAGATTTGGGGTGTGCAAGCTGCCCCAGGAGCTGCTCCAAGTCCTCCATCCTCGAGTCCCACACATGCTCTGATCTGAGAACAAACGCCTCGAGTCCTCCCAGAGCCAAGGCAGGATTAGGCTCTGCTGTGATGTGTCATGAGCCTGGTTCCTGCCCCTCCAGAGCTCATGCTCCAGTGCTGCCCCAGCCCACAGCCAGCAGCGCCTCTCTCTCCTCTGCAGATCAGGAAAATCAGAAGTGTTGCCCCACAAAGGCACTACCCTGCGAGCAGAGCTGGGCCATTCACTCCTCTCCTCTGTGGTTCCAGGAGAACCTGACTTCCTCCCTCATAA